CCAAATCTTCAGCAGCAAATTACGAACAGCTATGCAGCCTGGATGTACTTAGCCTCCAAGATCAACCCAACGAAAGCCAACAATCGGTGTACCAAGACTTCAAGCAACAACTACGACGCAGCGAGGATGGCTGGTATGAAACCGGGTTACTATGGAAACCTAGACATGACGAGCCTTTACCAACCAACGAATCCAACAGTTTGGGACGATTGAATAATTTACTGAAGAAATTGCAACGCGATCCAGAAATGCTTGACCAGTACCACAAAATCATCCAAGATCAGTTGAAGGAAGGGATTGTTGAGAAAGTAACCGATGATCCCGTGAAGAATGCGTATTACATTCCACACAAACCTGTCATCAGGAAGGCGGCGGAATCTACTAAGATACGGATTGTCTACGACGCATCTGCTAAGGCCTCGGAGAGCAGTCCATCGTTAAACGATTGCTTGGAGACAGGTCCTCCCCTCCAGAACTTGTTGTGGGATGTACTTGTCAGAAATCGCCTGAAACCTGTAGCCTTGTCTGCAGATATCAAACAAGCATTCCTACAAGTAAGAATTCGACCTGAGGATAGAGATTCGCTCAGGTTTCACTGGGTTAAGGACAAAGAGACGTTGACAATTGAAGTCCTGCGATTCACTCGCGCGCTCTTTGGTCTTGTGCAATCACCATTCTTGTTAGGAGCAACAATCCAACAGCATTTGGAAGTTATACGCGAAAAATATCCGTCGGAAGTTGAAGAGATAATGCGAAGCCTCTATGTTGATGACATTATCCCAGGTGGACAAACCAGAGACGGTGTACACAAATTGAAAGGAACGGTGAAGGAGATATTTGGACAGGCGAAATTTGACCTACACAAATGGCATTCTAATATGTGTGAACTGGAGGAAAACGACGAGCAAACACCTACCGTTCAGAGTTATGCAAAAGATCAACTTGGGGTGAAACCAGGTGAAACCAAAATTCTTGGACTTCCATGGGATAAAGTGGAAGACACAATTTCAATATCCTTTCCCCAGAAAACAGCAGCGACTAACAAAAGGGAGATATTACGCTTCCTTGCCTCAATCTACGACCCTCTGAGACTTGCCTCACCCGTCGCACTCGTAGGGAAGCTCATTTACAGAGAGGTGTGTGATCAAAAGTTGCCGTGGGATAAGGAGATACCTCAACAACTGTCGACTCGTTGGCAGAAGTTTCAGCAAAACCTTCCCGAGAAACTAGATTTCCCACGAAGCCTGACCAGCCTTGAGGAGCCAATCGAAGCCGTAGATCTACATACGTTCGGAGATTCCAGCAAAGACGGAACATCAGCAACTGTGTACGCTGTGGTACATCAAAAGTCTGGCATCAGCCAAGGATTGATGGCAGCAAAATCCAGATTGGCGAAGAAAGAGTTGACCATCCCGCGACTTGAACTAATTTCGGCACATATGGCAACTAACTTGGTCGAGAATGCAAGAAATGCGCTTGGTGGATACCCTGTCAGATCAGTCACCGGATGGTTGGACAGTACAGTGGCCCTGTACTGGATCAAAGGACATGGCGCCTACAAGCAATTTGTTTCAAACAGAGTCAAGAAGATTAACGCCAAGGAATATATCAATTGGAGACATGTGAGAACGGATGAGAACCCAGCCAACCTGGGAAGCCGAGGATGTACGACAGTGAAGTTACCAGAATCTTGGTTAACAGGACCAGATTGGCTGTCAAAACACGATGAATGGCCAGCTGACATACAAAACAAGCCTAGCAAAGAGTCTGAAATTGAAGCGAAGCCTATCAAGGAACTGTTGGTAACCGCTGTGTGTGCGATGGATGATCTGGACGAGCTATTAGAGAATCGTAGCTTTTGGAAGGCAGTGGGTGTCTTCGCGTGGATCGTCAGATTTATATGTAATTGCAAGTCTTCTAAGGCTGAACGGACATATGGGCCTTTAACGACAGCTGAAACGGAAGCACGAGTGAAACGGAACAGTTCAAAGAAGATAAGTTGAAGCTGAACCTACAACGAAATCCTGATGACCTTTACGAATGCCGTGGAAGAATTCAAGGCAACCTCCCGATATATCTACCTCCACATGCGCTCATTACTACAAAAATCATTCACAACGCCCATGTTCAAAACCTTCACGGGGGAGTGGTATCAACAATGGCCTACACGAGACAAAAATACTGGGTACCTCGGCTGAGACAGCTAAGCAAGAAAGACATAAGGAACTGTTATGGCTGCAAGAAGTTCCATACTTCCACATTTCATCACCCTCCTGTCGGACCCTTACCCACAGATCGAACAGTCGGATCAGTGCCATTCGAAGTCCTGGACATAGACTACGCTGGTCCTATAACCTATAGATCTAGCAAGAAAAGAATTGGCAAAGCGTACATTCTCTTGTTCGCCTGCAGCCTAACCCGTGCCATTTACCTGGAACTTCTTCCGGATCAGACGGCGGAAAATTGTATCAGGAGCTTGAAGCGGTTCGTAGCGAGAAGGGGCTGACCAAAGAAAATCTATTCGGATAACGGAAAGACCTTCAAAGCAGCAGCAAATTGGATAAGAAAGGTAATGAAACAAGAACAGTTTCAAAACTTCCTCGCCCGTCAAAATATCGTTTGGCAGTTGAACCTGAGCAGGGCTCCTTGGTGGGGATGCCAGTTTGAGAGGATGGTGGGTCTGGTAAAAAGAGCACTACACAAGAGCATCGGACGTGCTAATTTGCGATGGGGAGAGCTTGAAGAGGTGATCCTGGATGTAGAATTAGCGTTTAACAATCGGCCTTTGGGCTATGTCGAGGACGATGTTCAATTTCCTACCCTGACGCCAAACTCAATGCTGTTTATGCAACCTAACCTACTTCCCGAAGAAAAAACTAGTGATGTCGAAGGCGTAGAGCTGAGGAAACGAGCAAGGCATTTATCGAAGTGCAAGGACGCGATATGGTCTCGATGGACAAAAGAGTACATAAACGGACTGAGAGAACAGCACAATCTGAACAACAAGGGGAAAGAAGTAAGCGTTAAAGTAGGAGACGTAGTTTTGATCCAAAACGACGAACGGAATCGAGGAAAGTGGAATGTCCGTATCGTAGTTAAGCTTATAAAAGGAAAGGACGGTGTAGTAAGAGCTGCGAAACTCAGAGCAGGGAAGTCCTATTTGGAACGCGCCATTCAGCAGTTAGCCCCGATGGAACTGACATGTGATAATCCGCCACTAGGGCCAGAAGAGAAACAAGCAACCTTGAATGTGGAAGCGAGAGAGTTTCGACCGAAAAGACGAGCAGCTGCAGTCGCGGAGGAACGAATCAAAAGTATCGCTGAAGAAGATGAACTTGAACACTAATTGAACAGAACATACATTTGTTTCCTTCGGAATCAAATGGGGGGAGAGTGTAGATAATTTTAGACATTATTGACATTACATATAGTTATTAAGACTTATATAAAGTATTGCGAACAGAAGAGCCCGCGGGCGCTAGGATCGGGGGCTCAGAGAGGAGAGAAAAAACAAAACAGTGAGAGATTTTGTAAATCAAATGTGAGAGTTTCAATGAATTTAAGTTTAAAATAAACAGTTTTGTCGAGTAGAAATATACGTTTCCGACACAGCCTTCAATACAAAGTTATATAGGGAATAATACATGGGTGCGCGGAAATATCAGATTTATTGACAGTCTTTGAAAAGCGATAATTTTTACAGAAAAGCGAAAATTGAAAAGCGATAATTTTCATATCTGAGCCGGATTATCATAAATAATCTCACATGTGGGATTATCACTTTTATCAGTGCTCGAAATCTCTATAAAGCACAATATATACTTTATATAATAAATAATAATTATGCTTAACAATATATATGATAATATACCACTATGCCCAAGTATTTAAAAAAATGTTTCCAGCGCCAAACTAAATCATGTGAAATTTTAGGACCATAATCTTCTTTCACAAAATTAATCTCATCATACAAAGGCTCAACGTTTAGAAATCACGAATTGAGTTTATTGCTTGAGATTCTATTGCTATGTCGAGCAGAATTTGATATAAATCAGTATAAAAGGCGGTTTTCCACTAAGCGCAATTTTTCGACCGAATCGAAATTTTCTTTTGTCTTACAAGCACTGAAATGAACTAAACAGACATCTTTTGAATTTGAACAATAGAAATTTCGGTTCGATCGAAAAATTTCGCCTAGTGGAAAATCTTTCTCGACAATCTGTTTCGTATTACATTTCGAATTCAATTTTTCTAATATAAATATCTCGGCAAGTATTTACCCCCCCCCTTTTAAATAAATGCCACCATTGAAATCCTTACAATATAACCTTTCGAACGGGGGGTCAAGTGCCGTCAAAACATTACACAAACCGAAACAATCATATATTTTATACTCACCGCTTCGCCAAACATTCAAAGGAGAAAATGAGAAAAAGTTGAATATATTCTAAACTTTGGTGTCATTTCCTGAAAGGATATGTGTAAAATACTCTTTGTATTCAAGCGCTTTCGTGTAGAAAGTTTCGTATGTATACGCCGACTAGAAATATTTATTTTGAATTTTTAAAGTATCGGATTTTACTAGCATGCGCTTGTATTACGTAATACTTGGCCAATAAGGAGCAGGGGCGGATCTAGGATTTTTCGTACGTTAGTCAAAAATTTCGTTGCTGAACATCGGGGGAGGTGGTGAGGAGAGGGGGTAGTTACTTTTGATGGGGGGAGGGGGTCGCCAAGCAAATTAATGTGTCCTGCTTGCGAAAAAATGACGTGAAAAATTACTGTTTCGCCCAATGTCAAGCAAACATCCAATTTTTATCGAGAAATAGATTGACACGGATAAATTGACGTTTTAAAAATTGCGTGTTTTGTCCTTTTACACGGATTGTCAAAAGATTTTGCAACATAGTGATGCAGTTTAAAACATTCGATTGATTGTTAATTCACAGGAAGAGAATTTCCACGTTCAGTAATTCACTGTTCCTCGAGCTTTTATTCATAGCGAACACAAGGCCATCGACAAGCCCTGAGTGTGCTACGGATCAACAAAATTGTGGTAAATCCCACGTCTCTGTAAAGTAGTATGCTATGCAGTCAGGTCTATAACTTTTTAAAGTTTTATGTTTAAGACCAGAAAATATCTGGACAAGGGGGTCTTCAAGAACTGTGAAATAGATTTGTTTCAAAGTCAAACTATCAATGTCCGTCATGGTTTTAATCATTTTGGCTTTGGATCCATTTTACTTGTTATATACATGTTGTAGAGATCGTATTACACAAAGCCATGCTACATTGTCATGTAATAAATAATACAACATTATTGAGTATCTGATTAATATATAAAGTCCACATGCCACTAGAGGCATGAACAAAGTATAAACACACTGAAACTGCTTGTATTTAGCCGCAGTATTTATGTAAATTGACGGAAATATTATGTAAATTTCGTCTCTTATTACCTTGCGCGTACCCGCCGATATTATAGCATTTAATAATAGCATGTGCGTACAGACGCACAATAATAGCTATAATGCTAAATCTAGTTAAAATAGAATATATTTATCGTAAGGCCGTACAAAAGATTTTTGTTCTCTCTCGACCGTTCTTCGAGATGTAAGATTCCGCACCAAAATTTCGTGCGAGGAAGAAGCTTTTGTTGTTTACAACGCTCAAAAAGTCTTTAATAGAACGCTTCGGTACACCTTCTGTTCGCTTCTTTAAATCGGCTTCAATATCTTTAAGATATTGTCGATGGTCTTTCTCTAAAGCAGCCTTTACGGTTTCATAAATACTAGCGTACAGGCATGGCTAGTTTTAGCTAACAACGTCTGATTAATGTTCCGATTGCTTCGATTGAACCCAGAGTGATCGAACCTTTGCGGTCAGACAATTCCGTGCTCTATACTATTAAAGCCTGAACGGTATGATCGATCAAAAAATCCAGCCAATGGGAATTCAGGATTTTTTTGAATTAGCCAATCGGATAGCCTGCATTCGAGCCCCTGATCGCTTCATCGATCAGAACTCCCCACAGATCGCGCAAAAATCGAGATAGCCAATCAGATAGCTGGAATCTGACTCAAAGCGTGCAAAACTCATGCGTACGACCGCTTTTCTGCGCGTTCATGATCGAAGGCCTTGCCACTGGATAATATTTCAGAACTGGACTGTTAAACTTTCAATACAATACACTGCGCTTTCAATACAACTGGACTGCTATTTTAATTTAACAGTTCTCTGGCCAATTTTTACCTTAGTCGTGTGATCGCTCTGATCACCCCTAGATCCGCCCCTGATAAGGAGCTCCCTTTAGCCGGGATGACGTAAAACTCACGCGTATGGGTGCACTTTGACCTGTAGAATCCATTTCTGGCATTTCCAGAGTCACGCGATGCAAGCGTAGCATTGTTTTGACGGTTTTTCGTCGTATTTCCGGTTGGGATTAACGCATATTCGGAGCAGGAATACAAAATTCGGCACTAAATGTTGAATTTTAAAGATAGAAGCTTGAAAATAACACTACACGTGTTATTTTTAACTTCTTAATCCACCAAGACGATCAGAATGAGCATACGTCTCAACGGAACGAAGTTTTATTCGGCGAAAGGTATGTTTATGTTTATAATTTGTCAGTAATATTGCGTAATTTGACCATATACGAGCTCGTTTGACTTTCAAAGCTCATAAATCGCTATAATGTTGCCATTCACAAAATCTATCGATAGTAATGAGTAGCTATCGTTACATTGAATCGAATGGTGGTATTTTGGTCCACGTAGCATTTACCGAACTGAAGATATGAACCGCAAAAATGAGTAAATCATGAGTGATTTGTTTAATAGGGACCTGTCGGGAAAGAGTTTATTTAATGCATGTGACATGTTGCTCTGAGTGTATATCCACAACGGCCAAGCTTGAAAAATATGCCTGTCCATGGTGGAAATCGAACCTACGACCTTTGGAATACTAGCCCAATGCTCTACCAACTGCATGAGCTACGCGGTCAGGTCTGTTCGAGTATGTGATATGTCGGAACAGAAACTACTAGTTCCTTCGATATCAATGTAATCTAATAATCACTCGTGCACGTAAATGTAAATTATCACTTAATGTGATTTGCATTTAATAATTGTAGTCTGCAACAAACTTGAGTTGCGGAATGCGGAATAAATAAGCCAAAAATTGTTATAAAAGAAAACAAAGAAAACAAAGGTTGTTATAATAATATTTTGGCTTACTTATTCAGAAATCTGGCAACGCTGCAACAAACACTTTCAGCAAATTTCAGAAACTTGTGCTATTCTGAAATCTGCGGCTTAAATTCATATTACTGCTTTTTCTTGTGGTTAGTTTGTGGGTAAGTAGTCTTTATTCGCTGGACGCGTTGCTTTGCCAGCGCCACAATTTAATGAAATAATTATTCTTTTGCAGAACAAAGTGTCAACATGATCGCAGAAATTGCTCTATCCCTGTTACTCGTCTGGCTGATGTGGAGCGTTGTCACTACTTACAAGACGAGAAGTAAAATGCCTCCAGGTCCATTTCCCTTTCCATTCGTCGGTAATTTTCCTCAAATGCTTTGTGATTCACCTGATCCTTTCAGTAAACTTGCTGAAAAGTATGGCGATATTTACACTCTTTCCTTTCCCACTGGGAATACCGTGGTTTTGAATACCGCCTCACTTATGCGCGAAGCAAGATTCGGGAAAAAAGCCGGTATTTTTGTTGGGAGATCGCCGGGGTCTGTGTATCCTTTTAATGAAATGCTTGGTGACGATTACATCATGACTGACTATTCACCCATTTATGTATTTCGAAAGAAAGTGTTCCTCTCGGCATTGCATGCTTTCGAATCTACTGTGAAGCATGAGTCATCCACGTATGCTGTTAATGCCCTGTTAAAAGAGATTGGATCAAAAGAAAAAAAAGCTTTCTCTCCGGGGAAACTGGTCCATGCTTCGATAGTTGCACAAATTTGGAAAATGATTACGACAAAGAAAGTATCTTTGAACGACCCAGTTGTAAAATCTATTATCGAGTTCGATGAGCTACTTGGAAAACAGGCATTAAAAGGTACTTTTTATCAAATGATCCCATTTGCATCGTATTTGCCAAGCCAGTTCAGTCGAGATATAAAGCGAGCAGTGCAAGTAAGGGGAGCAATATTTCTCCCAGAATTTAGGGCTCACCTTGAGACTTGGCAGCCAAATATGATTCGTGATTTGACCGATAGCTTAATCGGCGCATTCAAGAAAGAGATACTGAAAGAAAATAGTAAAGACGTTGGTTCGCTAGACGATATTCCTGCTTTAATGACAGACATGTTTGTGGCTGGCGCTGGAACAACATCTTCGGTGATTGCCTGGTTTATCTTGTATATGGTGCTACATAAAAATGTCCAAGAAAAAATTCAGAACGAACTTGATATGGTCGTGGGAAAAGATCGTATGCCAGTCTTGGATGATGCTAAGAACATGCCGTACCTTCAAGCTGTGCTTTGTGAAGTTTTGAGGATAGCAAATGTTTTGTCATTCGTAGGAACGAACGCGATTCGTGACACAACAATTTCTGGTTATCATATTCCGAAGGGTACGTTAGTTTGTCCGAATCTTAAACGAGTGCATCACGACGAAAGAGAGTGGCCCGAACCTGATGTGTTTAAACCTGAACGGTTTCTCGATTCTGAAGAAAAGTTTGTTGGCTGGACGAAACTCCACGGATTCATGCCGTTCGGTGCTGGGCGTAGAGAATGCACGGGTCAGTCGTTAGCAAGGATCATGATAATTACATTCGCTTCAACGTTGTTGCATTGCCATGAGATTGCTTTGCCGGACGGTGCAGAGGAGCCAAATACGGAAATTCTTGCTCATGCGCATGCAACAGTACTACGTCCTCAAGATTTTGAAGTTGTGCTAAAGAAGCGATTTTGACTCCCAAATTGTTAATGAAATTCATTTTTCTTTCATTTAAATGTTTCCGTTTTAGAACATTATTGTTCACTTAAATTAAAAGCTCGTTTACAACTTTTGCTGCGACTTTCGGTGTGCTTTTCTTTCTGTGATGGATGTGAATGAGAGGATATGTTATGAATATTCAGATCAGGGTAAATATAATCAGATTATTCAATCTTTCATAACCCATCTGCTCGTTCACATGCATCAGAAGAAGAAATCACACTGGCTATATAAATTGCACAAGAAATAGCGAGTGTAAACGGGCATTAAAATTGTTCAGTATGTTAGTTAAACCATTAATTGTGGTTCAGTATTGATGTTTACAAATCGTCCGGATTGATTAGCAATTACCGATGCAACCTCGTACCCAGGGCTTGTGCGCTTCTGGAATCCCTCGGTACGAGGTTGGACCGTCTATGCATAGGCTAGTGAAAATTAGATATTAATTACTTCTTCGGGAATTTGATAAGAAAGGCTTAATTATTTACCAGTTCGTGTTGTATGTTTTATTTGACCGTGCACGTGTGTTCAAAATTTATTTTCGTTTGAGAGCCTCCTACCACATTCTCAAGCTCTCTCTTCTCACTTTTTCAATCGCTTGAAAATATAATTATATATCATAAATTGTGATTACACATATTAGACAAATTCTAGTCACTATATATATATATAAGTAAATGGGCTTTGTAAACAAATTCTCTATCAAAAATTGCTCCATAGACATAGTTCTTTTTTTAATCAAGCTACCTTACTCTGAAATGTCCAACTATAACTGTTTTTTATGGTAAACGAGTTTTTCCACTTCCGTCCCAATTTATTCCCAGCAACCCAAATCTGCATGGCTGGTAGACTCATTCAAATGCAAGACCCATAAGTTCGACAGCTGAAAGTAGCTAATTAATGCTTCAGTTTTACACGCGTAAAATGTTGAGCCCGCTGTTTAACAGGATTGAACAATGTTTTGCTGCCCACGTTGTTCACACTTGTGAACAATATTGAACAGTATTGTTGAGCCTGATTCGGGCGTAACAATATTGTTCAATATTGTTGACAACTGTGAATAATGTGGGCAGCAAAACATTGTTCAATCCTGTTTTCATCAGCATTGCAACAACCTGGTCGTTTTTAGCCGGGTAGTGCACAAATGACGATTTGATGTTTGAAGTTAGCGATCAGCGGTAATGTTTCTAATAGAGACGAAAGGTCTCTAATTTAAATGAATATAACTGGAGCGCTACCTCCAATCGGAAATTTGAAGCCAAACTTGAAGGCCAGTCTTAAAGCATTCGTAGAGCGCTCAATCAGTCAATTATGATATAAACACACGTCACGGGGTCGTCAGATTTGGGATCAAGAAAAGGATATTTATTTTAATGGTCCCAGTCTATCCCAGTGCTTCCGCATCAAAATTTTCAAATTTTAAGCAGGGAAAGTGCTACTTGGTATTATATTCAAGAAAAAAATTGCAAAATTTAGCTATAAAATACATCATTGAAAATCAAATATTCCGTCAATTCAATCAAGAACATTTAAAGCATCGACAGTGCACATTTTGTAGAAAAGCTTGGCTGACACGCCTAAACTTGACATTAGAAATGTATACATTTGTTACCGGGGTGAAAGAGACATGCAAGAAATCACCTAAGAAATTCGAATTCAGTGCTGAGAGTGTCATGAACAGAGGAATAGTTCCTGAACAATTGACAGGTTTGACACTGGTAGAAAAAATGGGTTTTTTTCAAGGGTCTGTCTCATTATGAGAGTGTATAGAAAACATGGCCGGAGGTCGGAAGTGGTATAAAAGACATCTACTTAACTTATCTCAAGATGTTCAAAGTTTCTTGAATAGGTTGCCTTCACGTGTGGCAAACTTGCTTATTTTGATTGTGCGAATTGAGACATGGGGCTGATGAGATTTTACTGTGTGCCGACACAAAGTTCTTGAGGCTGTGTTATGTTTAAAGACGAACAATCCATTCTTTAAATTTAAAAATATAGAAATTGATCTAGATGTCATCCAAACTTTACCAGAGAATGGTATTCCAGATGGGCTAAGGTATGTCATTGATAAAAATGAGCTTTCAGTTCATGTTGAAAATGAGGGTCCTCACTAAGACCCAGTAATGAGTGCTAATGCAAGTGTGGAGGAGCTAGTTTTAGGATGTGGCAGTACATCATTTTCAGATTTTTCATAATAATATTAGAACTGCATTTAAACTGCATTAAAGCACCCACGTGGGATGATAATTTTACTCACTACAAATGACATGAAATAATACCTAAACCCTCAGGCATTATTGTTTTGTAAATGAATTTGATCACATCCATTAGTTTTAACCACTGCGTTGTTTACACTTCAAATAATTTGAATTTTTTGAAAATTGCTTCTACAATTAAAGCTCCGTTACTTGAACAACTGCAATGCACTCTCATGTCTGCATGGTTATTTACGGCCAATATCAAATTGCACATTGTTATGTGAATTGTAATCCATTTGATGATTGTAATTTACAATTGATGATTGTATTTTTCGCAATCAACGCAACGATTTTGCTTATTACTGCCACAATATCGCTCAAACCTCGTGAGAATTATGTCGGTTTAAGTTGCGACAGAGCTCTTTTTAACTATATAACTGGCAGAACGAAGCTCCAACCACAGTTCCCATATATATATTGTGGGAGAGACCGCCAGTCCTCCCATCTGGTATTACACCGCACCAAACTATTTGTCACCAACAACCATCTGCCACTTCTGTACAGTTACTATATGGTATGGTCCCTTTCTGCAGATGTCCCGCCACGCCCCCCCCCCCACCCCCTCCAGCCCTGACAAATTCTTAAAGATGCTCTGATTAAAAATTTCCACAGTCCATAGATCGTTGCATCGTGTCAGCCAAGGGTGAAAAAACATCCATGCAGTTAATATCGTGCATGCAGCTCGATTCCTAATTTAGGTCAAAGGTTGAGTATGATATCGAGAATTATTAAGGGCGAGGCTTGTGTTATCCACCGAAGCCGATCGAAGACTGAGTGGATAGCACAAATCGAGTTCTTGATAATTCTCGATATTTTAGCAAACACTGGACTGCTCCATTGCTTGAGACCCACGTACACAGGGTGCAATTAGTGGCATATCCAGTCCGACGATTCAGTCCCGCTATGCAAATATTTCCATGTTGATAAAACTATATCAACACAATCAATTTCTAAAAAAATGAATAATGATGATGAGTTGAAATTTGCATGGTGCAGGACCAAATTATTTCGTTGGGCTGGCTACGTCACGGTGTGTAATAATGCTTATTGTGCAACGAACTTTGGTCCATGCCCCAAAATAGTATTATTCCGCTCTGATTGCGTCAGCAGCTGAAATAACTAAATTATCCGACGCGTTTTGACCAACCACGAACGACAATAGACTTTGAGTATATAGTAATTATAATTATGACCAACAGTTGATGTAAAAGACAGAATAAGTGCCCTAATAAGAAGGTGCTGTCGCCACCTTACACTTGGGGCAAACATAATCAAATGCCAGAAGAAATCAAGAAATAATAATACAATATTTGCCAAAAGAAGTTACCAAACCGTTTATAAAGAATTAATTACATTGGAATAATGAAAACATAATAAAGTTAATAGCATATTCGTCAATTAAAACAAAGTTGAATAAATCATGAAAATGTTGAATGTTGATTACTTGGTGCAAACTGCGCATGTCAATTCCGCACCTTGTATGTATGGTAGACATGGCAAAGCACCACAATGACCCTCGACCACATACAACAAACCATCGTTTTTGTTTGCTTGAGTTCCTTGTCTAGCTTCTGGGGCACCATCTACACAAATAAACTGACTTCGTTTATGGGAAATGTGTGCCGACATTAAGTAACCGTTGTACTCTCGAGTCCAACCTTTTGGGCAGACGTTGCGAGCAGGGATCATCACCTGACTTCCACGTGACTCAGCAAAGCACACGGCGCATACTGCTTCATGGTCGTGAAGATTTTTCGGGAAAAGAGATGCGTGTGCATTCATTTCATATTCAATTCCATATACATATGAATAACCTTGGTTGCCATTCACAGTCTTATTGTATATTGGATCGAGTGGCATACAGAGATGGTTTGAACCTCCACCGTTATGAGTATAGTACGAGCCACCCATTACACCTGCAAGACAAAAGCAGTATTGTGAAGAAACGAATCAAAGTATCGTTTTCATGTTTCGCGCATGAATGTATTTCTCTTTGATCTTGATATCATGTGCCTGAGCTTCTAAAAGCCGACACTACACTACTCTAGAACTCTGGCATGCAACCTGTTTACTCAAGTTGTGTTATAATGTGTAAATGAAGAGCACAACTCGCCTACATTGTCGCAACTTAATTGATTTACACAATATAACTCAAGTTGTAAGCAGGTCGCATTCCACAGTTTTAAGCAAAAAGTTTTCCAGTGTTAATCGGCTTGTCCGAAAGATAAGATACTCTATTCATATTAACTATGTTAAATTATGCATGCTATGACGTAACGCAGCGGGGGGTTGCATGCAATGGGATTATATTGAAACTGTGATTCTGAGAGAAAAGTAACTTTGTATTTTGAGTGATTAAACCTTTAAAACTAGTGATTTGTTGTAAAAACTTTCTTCAAACAAGAATTTCCAACACGTGGCACCCCTGGATGGGACAGTGAGATCTCGCAAGTGATTTTTAGAGCGTAAATCAACGTAAACAAGCGATATTTAGCGATGGCCGAGGCAGATTTAAAAACCAAAATAACACAGTTGCAAATGGCAACCGAGAAAAGTGATGCAATTCTTAATAGAAACAAGAAACGAGCGATTGCAAGACACGGGGAGAGCTTGAAAGAAACAATAGCTGCGGTAAATAAATTGCGATTAATAGTCGAAGCAGAGAAAATTTCCAAAGGAACAAGTGCCGAGGAGATCGAAGAGTGGAATAAAACCGTAGAGAATATGATGGAAAAAGCCGACGGTATGGTTGAAATTTTAGAGCAATGGTTAGAAGAAACAAGATGCGAGAAAGGAGAAAATACAACTCGAGGAGAAAGCAGAAAGAGAGGAAATAGAACGGGAAAAACAACTACAATTTGAGCTAAAATTACACGAAGCTAAGGTGAAAT